TTTTTTTTTTTTCAAATCCCCTACGCTCTCCTTCTTTCTCTCTCGCTCTGTTTTCATCCCGAGCACCGCATGTGATGCATATTGGTCGTCGTGCGCCTGCCTGTACAGAAGGGGACGCGTCGTGAGGAAGCAAGAGGGTGGGGCAGCTGGCGAACAGAAAAACAAATAAGGGAAAAAAAAATTAACACTGCGCGACTCTTCTCCGAGATTAGTTTCAGTTTTCTCTCACACACACACACACATATATATATATATGTTCTTTTTTTCTTGTAGCTTCTTTCTCCTCCTCTCCCTTCACCCGTCACTCCGTTCCCCGCTGGCGAGGGCCCCCCGCCCCCGCAACTCCGGGGGCCCGGCGGCGATCAGTCAAAGAGAACGCGAGTGGGTGACGGAGTGAAAAGAAAACAGCCCAGAGGTGAAAATCGCCCCCGCCCTTCCTTCTTTCCCTCCCAACACGAACGAAAAGCACAAAAGCAGAGCTGTGGGAAGCAACAACAACAACAACAGAGCTCCCACTGTGGTTGATGCATGCGCAGGTGCATCTGTGTGCGACGCCGGGCCAACAAGCCAGCCGGAGNCAACAACAACAACAGAGCTCCCACTGTGGTTGATGCATGCGCAGGTGCATCTGTGTGCGACGCCGGGCCAACAAGCCAGCCGGAGTAGCAGCACGCACCCAATCGCCAAATTCCTCTTCCATTTCTCATTGCAGGAGAGTTTATCCGAGTGCGAAGTCACACCAGACAAGGGAGAGAGAGAGAGAGAGATATAGATAAAAACAAGACATACCAGCAGCAAAAACGAAAAACGAAAAACAAAAATCAACAAACCGTTGAAAACAAATCAGCCAAACGCAATCATGGAGTGCGAAGAGGCAAATACGCTTTGGTGAAATAATCGGGAGGGCCAGAAAAGGAAACAAACCAAAAGAAAAAGAATACGTGCGGAGAGGAGGAGGTGGTGGCTGTCCAGAGGGCAAGAAGCATCGAAGAGGACTCCCAGTTAACAGCAAGTTCCTCCTCTGGTATTGCCCACT